AGCAGAAGACACACTAGCAACAAACTTCTTATGATCACAGGAGCAGGAGGCAAGACCACGTGGCTGGAATGGGTGAGGGAGAAGCCCCAGATTCAGAAGCAGCAAGTCCAGACACTTGTGAAACCACAGTTAGAGAATCACACTCCGTAAGGGGCACGGCTCATCTATCTGAGCTGCAAAGCAACGCTCCACAAAAAGCCTTATGTGAAGGTGCTTCAATGTTTAAAACTCTCTCAGTTTCTACAGAGTAAGATGTGAGTAAAAAACCAGACCATGAATAAACAAGACTTTGAATTGTATGTATAATTTATCACCCTAAATCAATAAAAACCCAGAGAGGTATATCACATCTGAGTGACAAGCTAATCACATACAATGCTGAAGCAGACTGAAAATACGGAAGATCTTGAGTAACTCCAAATAAATATTTACTTTGTACAGAATGCTTCTTGCAAAAACGGTGACCATTGAAAGACCAAAAAACTTTAAGTTAGTTTCATCATCAATTCAAAAATATTTATACAAGCATGCTAGACATACCATATAAAAACTAGAAATATATAATATACTAAGAATTAGCACAGGTAAATACTCAGATCTTTCACATTTGGTGCATCTTGCAAAAATCATGAGGCAGTTCCTGGTTATACAAACCAATTCAGCTCCAGGAAGAATGAATGCCCCTCTCAAATTTCCCCCTCCCTAATCTTTCCTGATATTCCGTTCAAACCACCTTCTTTTTACTGATGTACAGAAACTTCAGTGACCAAAAGTTATTTACTTATAAAAGGATATACTTGAACTTTCTTCAATTTGTGAATCAAGACATGTATAAATGCAATTTCAGTAGCTCTTTGTTTTCTGTCTTAGCTGCGTCTGAACACCTAAGGACAAACACAACACCTACCTATGCTACACCAAGACAGTTCAGTCTTTATATAAGCATCTCCAAACATACATTTACTTCTATTTGCACTGTGATAAAAGATAAAATAATTACAGATATAGTTCTGTACAATTATTAAATTACAGCTAAAACTCAAGACTGCAGTTTCAGACTTCCAGAGACTGTATAACCTTAACTTTCTCCTTAAGTTAAGGTTATTCCCCATGGCTTTTTGTCTGATTTTTTTCATTATCAGCCACGCTATTCATACCTGACTTTGGAATACACCAATCTAAATTCTTAATTCACATCTCCAGACTACTTCCTAAACGTGCCATTACCTAAACTGCCGCCTAGCTAAATCTGAGGCCAGGATGTCAGCCCTAAATCTAAAGAGTAGAAGAGCTGCCATGTACAGTATCACAACACAACACAAAGTGCTGGGACCCAAACCAATATAAACAAAATTTATCACCTTGAGTTTCATTACTAAGCTCCCTACATAACAATTTTAAGCCTGGACTTTGCTTGACAGGCTGAAAAATATGTGCACACATGAATCGTTCTCAAGGTATGATTTTATCTTGAGCTACCTTTCAGGAAAGAAAAAGAATTCTATTGTAGATGACAAGCATTAAACAGACATCACTTTTTATTATCTAAAATGTGTAGTTTTGAAAACAAAGAGAAAAATTATTTTGTCCACATACGATCAGTTATTACAAATTAAAGAGAAAAATTCACCTGATAGCAAAATTTTGATATCAAATCAATTTAATCCAATTTTGGAAAATTTGATTTGCATGTCACATAGATAGAAATTACTCTCAACTCTAAGAAATTGCTTTATATAATATGATGCCTTACTACTATTCAACTTTAGCCATTATGGCTCTCATGGAGATACATATAAGAACACTGATTTTTACAACACTGTATACAGACTTCATTTGCATTAGCTTCATGAGTTTTCTGCAGCACAGCTCCCTGAGGTAGCTGCAAACAGAATACCATTAAAAAAACAAAAAGGGCTAAAAAGAGAATAGAATTTTTTGTTGCAATAATTCAATACTTATAGCAGATTATGGCTGTAAAAGCAGAACAACATAGTTTAAGAAGCACAGGTTCTGAAAAAACCCTACAAATCTGTAGGGCTCCCTCTCAACAGATTCTGTTTCATACTATTGTGTACTGCTGATCAACAAGGATAATTTTTCACATTAAACATGAGCTATTTCCCTTTAAACTAGCCCTTATCCATGGTAGTTGATGATTATGTGCCGCCATCTAGCAAATGTTTCAAGAAAAGTTTAACTTTGGAAGCTATTCTGTGGCAAGACACCTGAAATTCCTTAGAAAGCCTTTTAAAATAGGAAACATATTCAAGACAGCAACAGGTTTTTAAAATTATTCCTTCAGCCTGCATGTTTGTAAGAGTAACCACAACTGGAGAATACAATTAGGATTAATACAGACAAACCCTTCAAAAGTAAGACCATATGCAGTGAATATGGAATTGCAAAACTAAAATTTTCATTCTACAACTTATGCTTTCCTTTGTTTCAGTGAACACAATGAGTAGAAAATGGTAAGAAATACTGCATTTTCTTCTTTCCTAAAGACTCTAGTCTTCACTGTTTCACTTTGTTCCAATTTTCAGGGTTTTATTTCCTTTGCACCCGCCCTCCCCCCTTCCCCCATCTAATTCTTCCTTGGTAATCAAAAAGCAGCAATTCCATACAGGAATACTATGCCCACATTAGAAAAAAATGGTATTTCTTAACCCTTTTCAATCTCAAATTTTCAGTCACACTGAAACTGTACCACGCTATTTACCAGCAGCAAGATGGCTTCCTAAAATTACTGGACCTTGCTGACTGTGGGTTCTGTCACGACCTTACTGTTTTGTTATTATCTAGGTATATATTCAATTAGAGAAAACTAAAGAAAACATTTATACACTTTTGGCGCAAGTCCTACTTGTTAACATGGAAATAGTGTGATGTTTTAAAGCACTTGCGCTGCTATAAACAACTTTTCATGAAAAGAAACATTAATGAAATGTCTAAACTAATTATTTGTGAGTATGATTGGTTTCTTATTATCTTCTGTCTTATTTCACCTCATCACAATAATTGCAATTTCCTCTTTTCACACTGGGTCCTTAACATTGTACCTTAGATCTCTCATTCATCCAGTCACCTAAACAGTACAACATTTTCATTCTTTGCTCCCCATAGATCAGAAGAGTGGGGAGACTATCGCTCCATGGAGGTATTATTCTTTAAGCAAATTATAATTTAAAAAAACCCCAAAGCCCAATAACTTTTAAGGTCTCCATTCCTGTCCAGTTTCTCTGAAATTAGGCAATGAGTTCAAAAGCTCTCAGAAAGGACACAGGCACCACAGTCCACTAATTTGTCTCATTTACCCAGAGCATTTTCTTAATCACCATCATCACTAAATAATCACACAATTAAATGTCCTCTAGTTTCAAAGCACATATACACCTCATGTGTAAGCTTTTTGACACTTATAACTATTTGTTAGCTACTAATATCAAACAAAAACCAGTAAGTAATTAAAATAAAGGCCAATTAACATTAGGATAAGTGCCATTTATATCACTGAGAAACACTGGTCTTAAAAATATCTGTTCTTCCTGTAAACAAAAGGTGAATTGGTAAAAAAAATTTGAAATCTATCATCCTAGAATTCCTCAAGATCCCACCACTTAGCATGGTATTTTATGTTAATTTAAAGCAGAAGTCTTTCTTAGCTGGAATTAACACATGAAATATATAATATTACAGAATTTCATAGAACAGTTTGGGTTGAAAGGGACCTAGAAGACTATCTGGTTCCAACCTTGCTGCAATGGGAAGGTGCTTGGAATGCATGGCCTTAAGCACCTCCAGGGACAGGGCATCCACATATGCACAGCCCAACACATGCTGGTGTCCTTTCCAATGTTTTGTCCAGAGACTTACTGTACTCTTTCACTGAAGATCTCCTCAGACAAAGAATGCTTCTGTTTTCATCCCTTGTTATTTCTGTGGTGAAAGACTGTGAAACATCACCCAAATGTGAATCAATCACAAGAAGTCCACATTACCACAATGAATGAAATACGTTAAATTTCAACGTTAAATGACTCATTTCTGACCTTACACTTAACAGCAAGAACCAAAAACTACCGAGTAAATATCTTGATTTTATGTACTATCAAACATTTTTCCTGATGAAGAGGCTACACTTCACTGAATTCTTGAAATCAACTTGCAAATTAACCCCTCTTCAAGTTATCAGATGCTTAAAACAAAGTAATTTTTGTTCTGCTGATAACTGTAATCAAGCTGTTAGTTAGGTAGGAATTCTGGAGGTGCACAGTGCTAAGTGCAGGTGCTGGTATCACACATGCTCAGCAGAACTGCCAGCTATTCTAAACTGCTGGTGCAACACCTAAAATAAGCTTACTTTAGTTGAGTCAGGTTGACTGTGCACAATGATTTGCAAATACGTAACCAAAACCCATCAAAAGTGAAACACACATAGCCGAATTCACACTACCAAGAAGAAAAAAAGAATATACTGAAATAAATATGAAACACCAAACTTCTCACAGAACAGGAAGAAATTAGCTGTAACCTATCAGTTTTTCATTTTCAGTCCCTCCATGTCCAAGAAAATAAGGCAGTATCTTTGCCATCCGGGAGACAGGCAGCTGGGGCTTTGGTGGGTCCGCTGGATCACCTGCAAAACTTTAGTGGGAACACAAACACAGCAAGACAGGCGTGATGGAAGGACACTCAGGGACAGGACGTCGGACCGAGGCACACGTGTCGCAATGGTGCGGCACCCCCCTACAAGCAGCTTCACTTCACCCGACGGATGTTTGTTTTTATCACAGCTGAGCTCCAGCACCATGGGACGCGTTTTCCCACGCCGCGGGACGGCGGCAGTCACCTGCGGTATTCCCCAAGGCTGCAGGCCGCCACGCCGGCTGCGGGGAGGGCCGGCCCCAAGGCGGCTCGCTCGCAGGGCGATCCGCCGCCGCGGCCCTGCCCGGCCCAAGCCCCCCGGCCCGCTCCCCACGGCGCCCCAAGTGTCTCACCTCGTTGTTGAGGTTCAGCACGGGCGCCATGGCGCCACAGAGCCCCGCAGGCCGCCCCGAGCGCTCCACACGCCGCCGCACGAAGCGAAACCACGCGCAGGCGCCGAGGGGCCGCTCCCGCCCCGCCCCGCCCCGGAGCTCTCGTTCAAAACGGGGCTCTAGAGCTTTCATTGGGCTTCTTCCTGCTGCTCGCTCGCCATGAGGGGCCTGAGCAGGGGGCGGATCCCGAGCCCGGCCTCCCCGAGGCGTCTGGGCCATTCCTGAGGAGGTCACCTCCCACCAGGCGGAACGTCAAGTATCGCCGCGCGGCGTTGTGCCTGGAGGCTCCTGTCGCCTTGCTCGCTTGCTCGCTTAATCCGGGGGTTGTAGGTTTGTAAATCCTTAAACTGAAGGATTTACCCCCATGACTAGTTTATAATATAAATATTTTGGGTTTTTTGCCTTTCCCGCCGTGTTGCTGCTCGGTGGAGCGCGTTGCAGGAGCAAGCTGTGGCCGCTGTCGTAGCTCTGGGCTTTGCTCTATCACCACCTTGAGAATACAGCCTCCGTTTTCAAAGTGCTGTACAGTTTTCAGATTGAGTTTTCCGTTTGTGCAGAAGGAAGATTTAGGGCTGTGTAGAAACTATACGTCTTGAAGCTTTTGTTGTGTGAAGTTTTATATACATAATTAATTTTAAATAGCCGTGGTGAAGTGTAGCTGAGCATGTGTTTTGGATTGAGTAACGTCTCACTCTGAAAATTTTGGCAAAATTTCATCAGAACTTTCCTCATCATTGCCAGTTTCTTGTGCTAGAAGGATTTGTTGATTTAAATTTCTATATTCTTCTGTTGAAACTTTTGCAAAACCCATGCTTGAATGAAAGCAAAGCTTAATATGTTTAGAGAATGAATCAGGTTTGGGTGGTTTTTTTGTTGTGTTTTGTTGGGGTTTTTTTGTTTGTTTTGTTTTTGGTTTTTTTTTGTTTTGTTTTGTTTTTGTTTGTTTGTTTTGGGTTTTTTAAAATTTCTGTTTATCTGCTGCACTATTCAAAAGAACGGAGGTCATATTTGAAAATACTTGGAGAAATTGTTTTAAACAATCCAAGTTTTGTTTATATAAGAAACAAAAACCCCAAAACCAAACAAAACAAAAAACGAAAAGTAAACAACCCAAAAGAAAACAAACCACCCCCACCCAAAAAAAATTAAAAAAAAAAAAAAAATTGAGGAAATTTACCAGCAATTAGCTGGCCTCAGGATGGCACTGTTGTGCCTGGAATTCTGCTTTGAAGTCTGAATATTTAAACAAATACGACTGTTGTCAGCTGTCTCTGTAATACATTTTAGCTGCAGGACCTAGCATTTGGATCTTGCTATATTTTAATGTTTGATTTCTAATGGGTACTTAGGCATCTCCTGTGCGTGAGCTGCAATAAAATCGCCCTTGACTGTGCTTTTTATTAAGCCTTACATGCAAGTAAGCTAGCCCAAGCTATTCCTTTCAAAGTGTTACTTTGAGTTCCATTTAGGATGTTTCTGAAGGTGATGCTGTATGTTCAGTAGCAGTCTGGGTGTCTTCTCGATCTGTAAAGAGCCAACTGAAAATACTTTGAGCTCATCCCTTCATCTTGTAGTGAAGGAATTAGTTCCAACAGGAGCTGAATTTATTTTAAAGCATATGTTTGCTGAGAGTGTTTTGAGTCTCATTGCAGATGAGGGGTATTTACCACAGCTGGTGCTTCATAAAAGTTCTGCCTTGGAGAGTTATGTCCAGTTTAGAAAAAGTCAGCCAACTGTCAGAGACTGAACTTTTCTTTGCAGTACCACCAATCTCAGGCAGCTACAGTGATCTACAAGAGAAGGAGCTGAATTTGACTGCATCTGAGTATAGATTAGTATTGGATGTGATACACACCATGCTGTCAATATGTGTTTAAGAATTACTGGATATAATCTCACACCTAGGTTGTATTTGTTTGCAGTGAGTGTAAAATTGGATGCAAAAAATCCAGAAGGAAAGATCTTCCAAGGAAAATAAAGAGCTCCTTCCTTTTGTCTTGGTATTTAATGCAAAACTAATCCCTACATGGGCCAATCTTAGGTTCCATTGTGCATCTTAGCAAAGAGAAAGACAAAAGCAGGAGCAGGCAGCCAGCTGTGGTTCTGTGAATCCAACCAGTGCCAGCCTGGCCTCAGAGTTGTTCCATCCGTGCAGCCTATTGGCTATTCAATTTTCCTTTCCATTTCCTCTGAACACTGAAATAACTTGCTTTGAAAGTTTCTTGTAGGCCCTGATGACACACTTCTGGCCCTTCTTCATCCAACAATTTTATTTTCTTCTCACTTAGTTAGTCATTGCTGAAAGTAAGTGCTTTATTTCTTTCTCCCTTTTTAAACCTCAGTGGTCGTCCAGAGTTAAGAATCTTTGTGCCTCATAGCTTCATTGTCAGCCCTTTGTCATACTATTTTTTGACTTAAATGCATTCTAAGTCAAGATTTTCTTGTCAGCTTGTCACAGTCAGGATGCTTTGAGGCATTGCCCCATATAACACTTTTGTACTTTGATGCTTTGGTCTGACATTTCTTCTTGTGGTGTCAGTATTTCACTCCAATATTTTGGCACGTATTCTGAGTGTTGGAATGCAATTTTCTGAACTATTTTCTCTCCTGTGTGAAAAACTTCTGTGTTTGCACATTGCAGGGCAGCATATATGTATGGGCTACGAAGATGGTGAAGAGCCTAGAAGGGCCATACGGGGAGGAGCTGAGGTCACTTGGTCTGTTCAGGCTGGAGAAGAGGAGATTGAGAGGAGACCTCACTGCAGCTACAACTTCCACATGAGGGGAAGAGGAGACACTGATATCTGCTCTGTGGTGACAGTGATAGGGCCCAAGGGAATGGCCTGAAGCTATGTCAGGTTAGGTTTAGGTTGGACATTAGAAAAGGGGTTTTACACCCAGAGGATTTTTCCCTAGGAAAGTGGTCACAGCACCAGGCCTGACAGAGATCAAGAAGTGTTTGGACAGTGCTCTAAAATATGTGGAGTGATTCTTATGATGTCCTGTGCAAGGCCAGGGGTTGGACTTGAGTGATCCTGATCCCTTCCAACTCAGGGTATCCTACAATTCTGTCTTTCTATTTGTAGGATGTAAGATGTTGCAGAACAATACAGGGGAGTTGAAATGGAAAACTATTTAAAGAAAGAGGGGGTTGTAGCTGGGTCCTGTTTCTCTCCCTTTAGCTTGGCACTCTCCAGGTTCATGTGATGTGGTAGCAGCTTGTAGACCATCTTGTAGCTACAACTGACTTTGATCCCAGAAGCCATGCATAAAAGTTATATTTTTGGAATACTTACTGAAATAAGTGATTATTGCAGATGCTTGCATTTGTATGCTCAGTACAGATGTAATGAAATATGTATGAAGTTTGTTTTGTGTTGAAAATTACAATAAGTAAATTTTAGACATTTCAATTAATCTTTTATGTTTTGTAAATTGAATTTGAACTTTAAGAAGTTTCATAGAAAGGAGTGCCAGTAATGTTAGCTAGGCACTGAGGACAACAAAAACAGAATGTTTTCTGCAACTTGGTGTTTCCTATAGTGTGTGCTTTGACTTTTGCCAGAGGAGTTTCTTTTTACTGATACCAAGACATCTGTTCTGGGCTTTGCTCCCTTTCTTTTTGTCATGGCAGTTTAAAGATATGGACACTCACTAAAATGAATTGCTCCCCCTAATTTCAACCAGTCCCTTTCCACCTATAAGGAACAAATATTAAAAGTTAAAAAATACCCGTTACTAACAGGCAAAACAGCAACAGGCAAAACACCCCCAAACCAACTAGTAAACAGTCAACACAAAATTGCTAAGTCTCAGGAGCCCCATGGGAACAAGGAGACTCCCAAAATGGTGGGGTGCTGCCCCCTCCCAAGATGGCAGCCCCTGCTACTGACCACTTGTAGGGAGGCAAAGGGAAAATGATGCCAGCCTCTTCCCCAAGATAGGAATTCTTATTTACATAGAAAAATTATTGAAAAAAATATACAGTAAAAATTTTCTTCATCCTCTATAAACAGGTTCTATGAAGTTAGTTGTTTTGAATTCTGTGATAGAATAGAAAAATTTGTTCTTAATATTGCAGATATTTTCCTTATTACTTTCTTCACTTTTGAGTCTTCATACACACAGAAGACAGAAATCTTCATGTGTTACTGTCCTTATGTAAACATTAGTACACACACTTTGGTGAAACTCACTATATTTGCATCATAAATAGTCATATCCCTCTGTTACTAAGAAAGCAGAATTAACATTGAAATTCCTTCCTGCTTAGAATCCATTCAACATTCAGCAACACTTTGAGAATTTAAATTTAAAAAAAATAAAAATCTGAATTTAATGATTATTTTATTGTGTATGAAAACAGCTTAGAAAGAAGATTTTGTGGTGAACTTCCACCTGGGATATTAAGTTTAGATGTGTGAAGCACACTGTTTTCTTCTACAATCCATCATAAATGCATTATTTAATAATTTTTATATCCTACATTTTTCTTTTTTAAGAAGCGGTTCCAGTAGTTCAGCTGGCTATTTCAGTTGCATGTTGTGTGAGGCCAAAATTTTCTCTTATTGCATACAGATGAAGTGTTAAGTAAAAAATGGGATCCTAATGTCTGCTAGATCCCTTAAGTATTATTAGAAATTAAAAAAAAAAAATCCCATGAAAGTGTCAAAACATTCCATATCCAGAAATTGTTAAAGCCTGTGGAGTAGAAAAAAACAACTCTGTGTTTCAGTCCAGAGATGAATGCTGAATTTATGATAGCAGAAAGGGCTACTCAAAGGCAAGATTCAGGTGGAGAAAAAGACAAAAGACCAAACTCTCTCTGATCCCTTGCAGGAGGAGCCCTTGAAAATAAACTGCAGAAGCACTCTGAAGAGATCCCATGAGCAAAAGATGGATGGTGGGTCTTTGTCATGGCACTCAAAGAGGTGTACTGGGAAAGACGAGAATGAAGTGTGTCTGACTCATTCACAGAGAGAGTCTCAGTCAAAGATGCACAGGGAGTGCACTTCTTTGGTGTCTCTAACTTACAGTTAGAGCTGTAAGTCCTTGTACCTGAAAAAGAAGG